ATATATATATATATATATATATTTAATTTAAAAAAATTAATATTAAATTTATTGATTATGAATTTATGTTAATCACGACGGTTGACCATTCAGCAGCTAAGAAGGTTATATATAGAGTTCTTGGTATGTACCGGAGGTGTCGGTGACAGCGATACATGTAGCTCAAGCTTTCGCCGGCATCAGCATGGGGTATATGCATTCAATATCGAAGCTGGCGCATTGATTGTTGTGCGGAGAGCTGATCACGAATCCATCTTCTTACCTTTGACAGACGAGCTTCTGACTGCAAGCTGATCACTGTAGAAATGAACGGAAGCATGTCGGATGAACGAAAAGGTTCTCTCGCATGGCCCACGTTGGAAAGCAAGCAGACAAAAATAATCTGTGGAACTGCATGCGCCTTCCTCGCTCGCCCGCAAGTACTGCAATCCGTCTGTAGCTTTTGCCTGCCTATTTGTTGTTGTTTGACTTGTGTCGACGTGAGAGCATGCACGACGGTCAATCCGATCGAGCCATCGGAAGGTCCTGTAAGAACGCCAAAGGCAGGGATGTGTGGATCAAATGACACGAAGACCACCATGTGGAGCACAATTATACTTCTGAAACACTTGTATTTTATAGCAGCAATGATGTCGATGATGATTGGTTTTTGACGACGACGACGACGAACAATAAGGGGAAGACGATATTAATTTGATGATTGGGTTGCCATTTTCAATTGACGAACACAATGACAATGCATGCATTACAGGAGAGACCGCCGTGACATCACAACTGTTGCGGGCCCTCTTGTCGGTCTCCATATTTCAACCCGCATTAATTGTCAAAGCTATAAATAAATAAATAAATAAATAAATATTTCAAAGGATTAAATATAATTATTGGTCAAGAGATTTCAAGTATTTCTTGTCATCGTAGTTTGATTCTTCTACAGTTTGGCCTTATGCTCTAATATTATGGTTTTGGAAGACTAGCTTCCCCATTCCCCCCCCAATGGATTGCAAAGTATAGTCTCTCTCAGAAAATTAGACTCGAGTTGGACCCTCCTCCTCAAAATAAATATAGTAAAGTACTACTTCTTTCAGAATCTATTCGTTTATATCATATGATTCGGTTAATCATAGGAGAGTCTAATGATCAAAGTTGACTTATGTACAGTACACATCATGTGGTTGGTGTCTTGTTTTAATAATTATAATCTTGATGGCTGGCATGTGACATTCACTTTATGAGTGAACAAAAAGGAAAAAAATCATGAGACGAGGATCAAAGACCAGCTTTTATGATGAGGATGGAGTTAGTATGATGAGGAGGATCGAGTTGGAACAAAAAGGAAAAAATCATTTGACGTATATGATGAGGATCGAGTTAAAAGTATGATGAGGAGGATCGAGTTGGAACAAAAAGGAAAAAATCATTTGATGTATATGATGAGGATCGAGTTAGTATGACGACGAGGATCGAGTCGGAACAAAAAGGAAAGAATCATTTGATGTATATGATGAGGATCGAGTTAGTATGACGACGAGGATCGAGTTGAAACTAAACGGAAAAAATCATTTGACGTATATGATGAGGAACGAGTTAGTATGACGAGGAGGATCGAGTTGAGTTGGAACAAAAAGGAAAAAATCATTTGACATGTATGATGAGGATCGAGTTAGTAGAACTCGGAAGGTGCACACGTGGGAGGGAGAAGAGGTTCGTCTTCCGAGAGGAGGAGTCGCTCATGTAAAAGATCAAACGAAGGTGATTGCTGTCCATTGTAAAGGATCAAATGAGTTGCCAAGTCTTCCGATGGCGCCTAACATCACCTTGCAGCTCTACCAAACATTGTTGCCATTTCAAACTTCGAGAAGAAGGATGTTTGAATGTCTGCACTCCCAAGGTTGAACTACCACAATGTCAAGATCATGATGGAAGCTGAAAGCCGAAGCAAGTTAAGTTGAATGAAATCATGATTGAGATAGGTCGACTGACTACTGCTACCAAGTTTCTCAAATCGAATCCTATATAAAGATCTTAATGTTTCACTTTCAAGTACAAGGTCTCAATATAACTTTATAAAGTGTACAACTAATTTCATAAGATAATCTATAAATCTATATAAACATCATCATGATGTCTTGTCATAATTCCTACCATATTTTTTCCTACTATAATCTTGTCTATCTGAAAAGCATAATCAATGGTAAGACATAAAATAAAATAAAAAAATAAAACAGACTCTCCCATGTTGCTAAGAGATGAAAGAAAATTGGAATATAACGAAACTATTTTTTTTTTCTATTGGTCATTAAAAATCTCCTATGTTGCTAAAATATGAAGGAAAATTGGAATGTAAGGGAACCTTTTTTTTTCCTATTTATTTATGAGTAGAAATCTCTTATGTTGCTAAGAAATTAAAAAAAATAAAGCATATCAATAAAAAAAATCTCCCATGTTGCAAAGAGATAAAGGAAAATTGGGATGTAATAAAACATTTTTTTCCTACTATAATCTTACTTTTTATAGTCAGTTAGATAGGTAGCAGATGGTCCATAATTTTATAATTAAGGGTTATACATTAGTACACCAATGTATATGACATAAACAGTGTCCACATAAACTAAGCATGGACTAGTTCTTGATTGATATGTATACATTATTAATTAGTACACACCAAATAAGAATAAGAAGAAGAGGAAGAAGACTGACCTGACAACATGGTATTATTGTAAGCAAAATTTGATGTAGACTGAGAGGAGGATAGGGAAAGAGCTTCTCAGTTGCAAGCTAAGCTTGTCATGGAATCTTCCATATATAAAAGACCATTGTGGTACTTCTGCCTCTATCATAAGGATGGATGGATGGATAGCTTCCACATCCAGCCAAGCCTTGTGATGCCATCACTTGCGTTGACTCCAACCGAAAGAGATAGCTTCGGTTTAGGAACTCCAAGCGACACAAACAATCCCCAGCAGTCCCTTTACAAATGATCAAGAGATTACAAATCACAGTCACAGAAGATTAAATCTCTAGATTCCTTTTTTCATTTGATGGTAAATACTATTCTTCAAAGAAATTAATAGACATCAAGACCAAAGAGCATTATTATAGTCGAAATTGAGATCAAGGCCCATCTTGTTTCCCTGCAAGTGCGCTTTAACCATAGAAGCCATCCATCATTACCTCAACTTCTCACGTTGATAAGCTCCGTGCAAATAAGCAACCTGCACCAAAATAAAAGTTTCAACTCCACAACACATGCATCATTATGAAATGGTCCTCAGAGATGCTCATCGCAAGAATCATGTTCCACAAGGCAAGTTGGAAGTAATTTATGATTCCTGAAAACGAGTAACATTGTCTTGATCAATCTGAAGAACAGGTTCTTTTACAGGGGATGCGTACAGATTCTGGTGAACAAACCACAGCTTGGGCAACCGGTCTGAACAGCAATCGATACCTCGGAGCTAATCCAAGCATGTTTGAAGAGCTTCACACTGAGCCAAGGTAGGCACGCTCGAACAAATGAGTACAGACACAAGAAATGTTTGATCATAATTTCGATGCATGATGAAAAGTAAACAAGAAAAGTTTTGTCAATTCTACAACAGAGAAAGCACAAAAATTACTTGCTTAAGCATACATATCATATCTTTAAATTTCTAGGTCGAAAATAACAACAAGATTCTGTACGGTGTTGCTTTAGTTGAAGATAGAACGGGAGAGTCGAAGCAGAACATTGTTCTCGGTTTTCATTCCCCAAATAGGTGAGACTCGGGTTTGTTGTTGTACCATCGTTATGTATCGAACACTGTCAACAAGATTTCATTATACCAACTGGATCAAGTATGGACAGGAGATTCCAAGCATACTTGTCAATAAGAGTATGACCAAATCTTTAACCGCCTTGTATCAGTAACAACATGGTCAAAAACAGCATTAAGAAGCACAGCGGCTAACTCTTAAAAGACATCTAAATTTCAACTCATTGTGGTACAGTGAATAGTACTACTTTACACAAAACTCCCTCTTGTTCTTTTGCTTCAGTCTTTTTCCCATCTTTTTGCACCTAGGACAGAAGGATTTCTACGAAGGTGTTGATCCAAAATGGTGCCATGAAACAGCAAAGAAAAAGTCATGCAACCGGGTTCAAGGTTTATGTCCAAGTTGAGTTTAGACTATTTTTATAAAACAAGTGATGTTTCTAAATTATTTTTGTACTGATTTTTCAGTAAAATCAATCTCTCGGCCTATAAGGTAGGTCTGTATTGACCATCCTCAAGCTCCATATTGAGGAAAGCCCAAATCTATTAAGATATACTGCATGTGCTAAGATATCCTCCATGCTTCAAGCATTCTCTAATAAAGCACAAGTATTATTAAGATAATCTGGCAGAGTAGACATTATTAAATTCTCCTAGATCCAGTATCATTTTTGCAGCTAGCATAACAGAAAATGACAAATGAAATGACACAAAAAAAAAAAAACACAGATACATCCTAAGCACAAATTTGATCTTGAACAAAGTGAGTGCAACATTGTTCTTGTTTAGATTCCATCAATTGTTGTTATTCACTAAAAAACCAGCAAATGGATATTCCATGATGGTTAACAATCAAATAACTACTTTGCTTTGAGATATTATCCTATCACCTATTTCACTTTAATTATTATGTTATTCTCTGTGAATTGTGAACAACAAAAATTTAAAAAATCAGATATCGAACTTTGACATTCAGATACAAAGAATTTTAAAGCGATGGTAAAAGTAAATAAAACTTTTAATGTAATATTAAAGTCATATGGCACAAGAAATCTTCAAGAACAAAATATCATCTCAGCCTATGCAAACAGCCTCTACATATTACGTATTCAGTAACTACATTTCAGTAAACGAAAAAACATAAATATGCCATCAGTTTAAGCATCGATATGTGTAATAAAAAATTCAGGATATCTGCATATTTAAGTGCCATTGCTGTGATTCACAGCCAAATAATGATTTACAAGTGCAAAAGATGCACCACATAATAAATCCTATACGATCGACCAACATATGGAATCACAAAGAACTGAGGATCAAATGCGGTCAGTATAAACTAGGCACCATATTCATCAAAAAATTTCAAACAATAAACATCCCTGATCCCTGAAGTATATATGCAAGCACATTTACGCATTCAGCATGCCAATTTCTAAAATAATATGCAGACCTTTTAGTGGGAACAAATAGCTCTAAGTCTTTGATAATAAATAAAAAAATAGAGAGACCCAGACCGATTAGAAATCTTGAGCCCTGGCCGAAATCACTAAGAGGGCTCGGTGGCTGCTGTCAATCTGCACCGGCACCACGAAAGACACCGCCGCAACCACCATTCTCCCTGTCCACCACAAAATCACGTATCAGAATTCAAGTCTGAAAAGATAAAGAAGGATGACCATCGAGTTAATTACATAATAGCTACGTTCGAACGCCTTCTTCTTTACTTTTTGCGGGCGCACCCAAATTGACGCGTCCCAGGCGGACCTTTAGTCAGGCGCACGAGGTCATCGGAACCCAAAACCACTCAAGAACTCGTCACGTGACATGTGGGGCCTACACCGGGCCCGTTACTAGGTGATGGACGCCCGGTCACGGGTCATCAGAAGAGGGGAAACAGACCGCGATGGCGTCGTACGGAGCGTCGTCGTCGTCGGCGGCGGCGGAGAATCCATGGACACCGCCCTATTGCTCGGTGGTGGCCGTAGACACGTCCGCCTTCTGCTACCGTGTCTGCTCCATCTGCGAGCGGACCCTCTCCGATACCGCCTCCAACTGCCCCGTCTGCAGCCGTCGGATCCCCAACGCCGGCTCGAAGCACGTCTACCGCCTCCTCGTAGTGATTTCCTCCGCCAAGATCTCGTCTTTCTTTTGCGTCCTCCCGAGAGATGGTCTTGCAACTTCTTTATTGCTGCGGTGGTGGTTGCTGTAGGTATCGGTTGGCACGGTGGACAGGGTGATGGTGGTGGTGTGCTTCGACAGGGTGGCGAGGGTGCTTATGGGGTGCTCCGCGGACGACTGGACGGACTTCCTGGGGGCGCATCCGTCGGCAAGGGAGAAGGTCGGGGAGCTGCTTCAGGGGGAGATGCTGAGGATGACGCTGAGCCGGTCGAGGAAGGGCAATGCGGAGCACCTGCGGGTGGCGTCGGTGGTGCCGCTCCGCGCCGGGTTCCGCCCCGTCATCGACAGGTTGAGGAGACTGTACGGGGTGGAGGCTGGGGCTCCGTCCAGCGGCCACCGCGGCTGTTGAACAAAACTCACTCTTGTAACTTGCAGTTTAAGCATCTCAATCTAAAGTTGTTTGGTGTGGCTGTGATGTTGGAACATTTAAATGTAGAACAGATGAAAAGAAAAGAACTACCTCAATCCAAGCTTTCGGACGAACTGCTAGATGTCGCTTAAAGGGACTCGAGGAGAAGTCATAGCACAGGCTGCCTTCACATTGCTTCCTAATATCATAATACTAAAAAGATGGTAGAATAATGTTAGCAGTAATGCTACAGAAATAACCTTAAAGTAAACAACGAGAAATAATAATGGAATAGTATATCACATTTCTAGCTATTTCGTGATTGAACTGACAATGGTGTCGCAAATGACATGACGCCAAGCAAGACACAGTCTTTGACGTTCCTGAAATGTTACACAGATCATCTCATTTCTGTTCATTGTTTGCTGAATGCCATGCAATATAAGCTGGATCGAATCTGAATGGCCTTTTATAGGACTAATACTGGGGTAGTTCAGCAGGCAAATAATGGTGACATGCACAGTGTGAGATGTTAATACCACGACATTGTGCAATGTAACAAAAACAAGTCATTTCTTGTTAAGGAGGTATATTATACAGGTGAAAATGCACAGCAAAAGATAGGACAACAGGGGATCTAACCCGAGATTTAGTAACCATGGACACTCCAAAAATCATGCATTGTGGAGCAATTTGCAAGAGACACAGAAATGCATGCATTGAGAAACCAATCATGTGTATAGCCATTATGAAAGGTAAGCATATCAGATTTACCACAAAGTTTGATGGCAAGTTCATATGCTGGATAGAACATAGTGCTGATGCTTTTGTAGTCAGATTCCTTAATAATTCCCGTACCCAGTGCATAACCAGTGTATTGCTTTGTCCATTGCCAATTGCAAAACCCTGTACAACCGAGTAGAATAAGCTCAGGAAAGAGTAGATAGACTTTTCCTGTAGATCAAGAACAGCATAAAGGTCTACCTTCAGCTTTATATGAATGCCTTCTTTAGCATTATTCCCTTGATGAACATGGCTGCAAAAGTAAGAACATAGTGCTCAGCATGCCACTCGCCGGTAACATAAAAGTCATTCATAATGATAGGAAGAACCGACATCGAATGATAAAAAAACAACGTATTCCGAGTGTTCAGAGAAAAATGCTTGAAAACAGAGAAAAAAGCACCTATTTAATCCAACTATCAACTCGCATAAAATGGTTGAATTTAGCAACTTATTTTTATACACTTGGATGAAGAAGTCCAGTGCATAAGGCTCCCATCAATCTTAACATGCATGCATTAACCATTCAACCATGAATTATCACAGTTCACAAACCCAGTTTGCGGTCTGGACGCCAGCACTCTTTTCACTCGGGTCAAATATTTCTGGTTCTGCAGGAGATCAATGATGATTCAACCACAAAGGCCGTTTTAACAAGTAATGAAAGGTTGCTGCAATTGGTTGGTAAAAGGAAGATAGAGATGAATCACCTAACTTAAGCTCCATGTAACACATGATAAACCAGCATTAACTCTTTCTTCCATTCATTGGTTTCCATGAATAGCTACAGAAGAACTGATGTCATTACACTCTATTCCTTTTCTATGGATCACCTCTATTCTTTTTTCTGTGTAATTCATCCCCCCTTTTCTTTTTTCTGTGTGCATGAATAGGCAAAATGACCTTTCGAACAAAATTCAAGTTTAGAGAGAGTCAAACGGCATGCTTCTCTCATCCTTGATCAAGCATCAAAGATGAAAACAGCACATAGGAAATCAGAATGTTCAATGACATTAACCTGTCTAAACCATCTATTTATTGCAACTTGCAGGGATATATTGTCTGGTTCGAATTACTTCACACAAGTTCAAGTAATTAAAACACAAAAGAGAAAGTATGCCACAGAAGCCATTTTCAAGCTCTTTTCGCTTCAAAATGTCCTCTTGACTGCGCAAACATCAGCGGATGGTCAGATCCGATTGCACCTATCTCAAAACGCACAGCACAAAATACGTGCCGGTTTCGCATTTCCACACACGGCTTCGCCGGTGAGAGGAACCGTATCTTTAAATAATCGAATGAAACCGAAACCCTGGTCAAAAAATTCTTGCGGATTCGGTGGCGACCGCAGGGAACGAATCCGGTCCCAGAAGTGGCCGAACAAAGCAATTCCCGGTCAAGAAACCCTAAGAAAAAGATCCCTAAAAACAATCAAGCAAACCACAATAAAGAAGAAGAAAACATTCGCGCCGATCGCAATTACGCGTCGGTGATAGAAACATTCACGGTAAACTCGATGCCGAAATTAAGGGAAGAAACTAAACATCGAAGACGGAACCAAACCGTGCCATCGGCGCAGCTACTTCCACCCCCCCCCCCCCCACCCACTGCTGTCCTCCGGGAGAAGAAACGGGTGGAAGCGTGATGGGGGGAGGAATCAAAAAAACAAACACTTGGTCGGCATTCTTCTCCTTTGACTGCATCCGACGGTTCCAATTGACTGCGAACGACAACTTCCAACCGTTGGAGCGCATCACGTGCATTGCACGTGTCACGGCCTATTCTTATTACTTGCTGTTGGTGATTGAAAAAGAGATATTTTTCGTTAATTATAAATAGGAAATCTTTAATCATAATAAACACTTAATAAAACATATATCTATCTAATGCTAAAACTTAATGATTAATGAGTCCTTTAATGTTAATTAATTGATCATTCAGTATTTAATTAATGTGATGTTTTATTTTTGAGTAGGATAAGTAACATCCTTAATATATTAAGAAACATCATCTACTTCCCAATATATCTTCCTCTAAAATCTATGAGTAACATTTTAATTCACATACTTAATATGTAATTTATACATTAGCACAATATGTATCATATGTGCATTTTTTCCCTCGTCATGCTTCTATTTATTTTAGGAATTTTTATTTTTATTTGTGAGAAGGTGTATATATGTTTTTTTTTTGTATAAGTAAGCAAAATAAGTTATCTAATTTTTCATGTCTCTCAAGTTATAGTAAATCTCACTTTCTTTATAGTTTATATGGACTTTGTGTATGCTTACGAGAGTTAATTACATATTATCTTTTATAATTAGTTATCTTTAGTATCATAGTCCTTATTCTTTCAAAAATTATATTGAGATTCTTATACTTATGAAAATGAAACATTTAACTCTACTTCTCCTCACATCGTGGGTTTTGCTGATGAAAATACCGCACGTACTCAGTGGCAAATTAAAGTGAGGCAGAACCAACATATGTTCAGTGATAAACTTTATAGTATTTTTTTTTATAAAGTCAACGGGCGTGAGAAAAAAATAGGATTAAATATTTTACTTTGATAAGCATAGGGATCTTAACGTAACTTTTGAAAGTACAGGAACCGGGATGTTAAAGATAGCTAATTACATGGAGTAATATGTAATTAACCCGTTTAATTGATTTGATAGAGGTTTTGATGAAATTAATAAATTAAATTAGTATATATATATATATATATATATATATATATATATATATATATATATTCTTCCAATTTAGGTTAGTTTTGGTGAATTCTCACATTCTATTTCGTATTAACAATCCTCATTTTACTATTGCCAATCCGTATAAAAATTATTTTTTATTATTTATGATCCTCTAAATATCAATTATTTTTTTCTCACAATCTTTTATTTTATTTGTTAGAATCTTAACTATATCAATATCGCTCGCGATTAATAAAAGAAGAGAAAAAAATGAAAAAATAATAAGGATATTTATATTCATCGTAAAAGTATCTCCGAAGAATATTAAAAAAAATTATAAAAATCTTTTATATTAATAAAAAAGGATGAAAGAAAAGGAGTAAATCGTTTGGTCATCCAGCAATCCATCTCGAACATTTTCTAAAAGTTGAAGTCATGTAAATAAACTTTTTTTTTTTTTGTTTCAACTATATTATCGAAGCTGTTATGTTGAATAGGAATATGAAATGCAATAGTGTGCTAATTGATGACAAACTTAACTTGGTTGGTGCAACGTCAAGCCTTTAGTGAAAGCGACTTATAGAGACATAGTTAGGATGTTGAATGAGGAGGCGTCGATGACAAGCAAGCAGTGCCATGCACAGGACTGTGTGTCCCACTTCCGACTCTCCACGTTTGTCTCGATTTGTTCTTCCGTTTCCGACGTTATCACTCAATTAATCTGTTATTCGAACTTATATATCATTCAATTTATTTCTATAAATATTATACTGTAATCATATCGATATCACATATATTAACTTTTAAGCTCACCTTAATAATAAATTATTTCATGCGCTTAAATCCATCATATATATACATATATATATATATATATACAATCCATGAAGCAAAAGTGGGTGGGAGAAGCACTTCTAAGGGTACGGAAGCACAGAAGAGGATTGTACTGCATGCCACATGGGTTGTGGGCAACGTAGAGAGGTCGGCGTCATGGCCACGAGAACCACACTGTCGACGACGGACCAACTGCTGCATGCGGCCATGCTCTTGTTGGACCAGGTGAAGGAACGGGACGTGCTTGTGCTCTTTGCTCATGGAGCAGAGCAGATTAGATTCTTGTTCCCGTTAATTTGCGTAGTTAGTGGAAGGACGCGGTCATGGAGAAGAAGAGGAGGGGCTTCGGCGGTTGTGGCATGATGATTGGCAGGCAGAACAACCGGTGCAAGGGGGTTCGTCTGCGGTCACGGCGGTGGGGACTCGGTCGTCGCGGAAACCATGGGGAAAGGCCCTCTGCGGTGCTACAGCAGGGAAAGCGACGGGTGTGAGAGTGCCGCTGCATCCGCTTCCCTCGAAACGTCTCTAGGAGGCATGATTACTTCCTCCTCGCGCTCTTACCTAATTGCCTGCTATTCTGTATCGTGGTTGACCGAGTGGCATCTACAGTGAAAGTTCATCATCGATCATCGATCTTTAACCCCGGTTTCATGTCTGTCCATGTGATCGGAGAAGAAGAGGATGCTTCTTCTGAAAGGAATCAATCACCAACCGTTGGGCATGTGAATGTTGAGGAAAAATTGCCTGTTTCTGCCTCCAACTCCTCGTTACGTCTTTTGATTTGTCAACATTACTTACAACTGCCGTTCGACCTCCTCAATAATTCATTTCTTCTTGGAGTTGGGGAGGGACCTCCTCCTCATCACTCCTCCTATATATACCATATGCAATCCCATGTCCTCCCTCCACCCAACCAACCCTTGCTTGTGTGCTCCATCACGCATGGCTTCTCTCGTTGCCTTCCTTCTCCTCCTCATTTTGCGCACTGCAATTTCCCAGCCCTCTCCGGGATTCCACCCGGGTTCTTCTCTGAGTCCAGTAAGATTCTACCAAGGTTACGGTAACCTTTGGGGTCCTCAGCATCAATCCGTCTCCCAAGATCAATACACTGCCACCATTTGGCTTGATAGCAGCTCAGGTCTGTTGTTCCTCCTCTCCGACTTGGACTTCCTCTCTCTCTCTCTCTGAATCCTAGACACCTTCATGTGGATGTAGGAAGTGGATTCAAGTCGAACACCGCATACCGAAACGGCTACTTTGGTGCTTCCATCAAGCTTCAAAGCGGCTACACTGCCGGCGTCAACACGGCATTTTATGTCAGTCATCCTTCTTGTTGTTGTTGTTGCATCTCTAGTCTCTGCTAATTGTGTGGATCATTCTGCTTGCAGCTCTCGAACAATCAAGCTTATCCCGGGTTCCACGACGAGGTGGACATCGAATTCTTAGGGAACATAGCTGGAAGGCCATACACATTGCAGACGAACGTGTACGTTAGGGGCAGTGGTGATGGTAGGATCATCGGCAGGGAGATGCGGTTCCACCTCTGGTTCGATCCCACCGCCGACTTCCACCACTACGGCATACTTTGGAATCCCGACGAGATCATGTGAGTGCGATTGCATTAACCACAACAGTCGCAAACTGGACTGCCTTCGATGGATCTTGTGTCTCTCAGATTCTTCGTTGACGACGTGCCGGTACGGCGGTACGCGCGGAAGACGGAGGCGACGTTCCCCGACCGACCCATGTGGATGTACGGCTCCATCTGGGACGCGTCGTCGTGGGCGACGGACAACGGCAGGTACAGAGCCGACTACCGCTACCAGCCCTTCGTCGCGGAGTTCACCGGGTTCAAGCTCGGGGGGTGCACGGCTTCGGCGCCACCGAGCTGCCGTCCGGTGCCGTCGTCGCCCTCGGGCGGCGGGCTCAGCCCCGAGCAGTACGCGGCGATGCAGTGGGTGCAGAGCAACCACATGGTGTACGACTACTGCCAGGATTCCACCAGGGACCATTCTCTCACTCCCGAGTGCTGATCTCTATCTGCTGCCACTCGTAAGGGGGGATGATATATGATGAGCCGCCCTTCTACTCGTAGTTGAGGCGTGTGCGGGCGTTCGGAGTCGTCCATATATTGCGTTATTTTGATGCGTTTCCTGATCCGATCCGTCTAAAGTGGACATGATTTGAGTTCGATTAGCATCAATCGGGAACCTGATTTGGTTCGATCAAATCGAGCCATGCGCTTATTCTTAATCGAACATTTTGGATATTGCTGATATCACAAAAGCACACGTCGCAAGCAACTTAACGATCCTAACACAAATAAAACCAGCTTCTTTCTTATTAAGACGATCGCACGGACGGGGCATCGACTCGGACCAAAGCGAAGACATCGTCGTGGTATATCATCTCTCAGTCATCATCGTCCTCGTGCGGCGAAGTCTCCGGCTCATCGCACGACGGCGACGTGAAGTAGAAAGGCCCCACGGTGTACTTGAGCATGCCGCGGTGCACGACGGAGGGGTGGTGGGGCCTCACCCCGCACTTGCCGCCGCCGAAGTCGGTCATGACGTTGCAGGTGGGATCGGGCGACGACACCAGCCTCACGGTGCAGTCCTCCGGCCGGACCGCCTTCCCGTACACGAACTTGCTCACCACTAGATCGAACTCGCCCTTGTCGTCGGTGGTGTCGCTCGTGTGGCACACCGCTCGCCGGCGCGAGTCCAGGCATGTCACCGCGACCTTCGCACCTGCATGGCGACGAATGAGAGAGAGAGAGAGAGAGAAAGGGGAGTGTGTGTGTGCGCTGATCCAAACTTCTTGACGATAAGAGGGATGCAGTCACAGTCATCAGACTGTTACTGCCAGGGGAAAAGGTTTTCCGTCATCGATCTACAACCGTCGCGCGTGTAGCATTAAAAGGCTGAGAGGGAAGAGAAGGTGCGTAGGAACGTACCTTTGACGGGTTTACCCTTCGTCCACTCGTTCCATCCCTTGGAGCAGTCCTGGCACAGCACCTTGCCATCGTAGTGTACGACCTTCACGTCGTCATGACCACGCCGGGCTTCCACCCCGCCCAACATCAACAAGGCAGCTGCAGCTGCAATCACCGCCACAACCCACCCCTTCTCCATCTCTCTTTGATATCTCTTCTCTTCTGCGGAGCGTACCTCTTCCCTTCACCTTTCCGTAACCCTGTTCTCGAGTTCTTGCCTCGAACCTCTGAATTTTAATGATACGAAGAGCGAGCAGAGCCGGGGAAGTGAACGTGAGGCCGACTACTGTCGACGTGAATGCCATTGTAGAGTTCATGGAGACCAAAAATTCCATGAAGGAGAAACCATATACAGGCTTGTCACTACTCGGTCACCCACTTCCCCCTTTTTCAACTCATCCACTCACCTATTTCAATGTCAAACCCGTATCTGCTTTCCGACTGACGTGCACGTCTCTCCAAAGTGGACAATGCCCTGCTCAAAACGCTTACCCTTACCTTCATCCAACACTTGGATGTCCAACATGTTAGCATGTAGAGTTAAGTTATGCTTGATGGTTTTGTTATTAAGATAGGATAGACTCGACTCGGTCCATAAACATGGAGAGCAAAAGAATAAATATCCTTTTTCCCAAGACCAGACCAATGGATGACGAGAGCATGTGGATCGACACTGACAACATAAAGTGGAGGATTACATTTATTATTAACTTAACATAACGTACTATCGGATCATCACCTGATATGTACATTGGTGACACTGAAGGTTGACACCCTTACTCCATAATACTCTTTGAACCATCACGTAGAACTCGTTTCTACGCGTTATAGGATTCCAGGAAGTCTCTAATCATCTTCCTTTCCTCCTTGGTAAGGTCAACATTTTTGCTTGCTAAACGTTTCCTTAGCCCCATTGCCTCGACACTTGTATCGCTACTGGAAACCTGCAACAACAAATGCACACAAGCCAAAATCACGTCAACCAAGGATCCAAACACAAAGAGTCTCTCAATTTGAGGGAAAGATCTTACTTCTACATAATTGTTTACGTGACCGTCATTGTTTGCACTTGTCAACAACTCATGTTCGTTGCACAGCCATTTATCATCAACTATGTACTTGTACTCATAGCGTCCTTCCTACACAAAAAAAAATCAATTTACAAATAAAAGGCACCTCATGCTGCAAATAAAAGCACAAACTTTTTACAACATCGAGTTCAATGCACAACTCAGAATGCACGCAAGCCATCAATTTGTAAAAGGTTATCATGTGTTGCATCATACAAGAAGAAAAATGAGTCATTTGGGCAAAACGTAGATAACCTTCCATCCATCGAAAGGCTTAAAGGATTATAGTCTGTACTATCCTTTTATAAGAAAGATAACCTTTATTAATTACATATCAAACCACTTTGATGCATCCCTTGGCAATTTACCATTGCCTTTTGTCATTGTCATGACCTGCTCAAGATGCTTAAAACCTAAAAGTGGTACACTGCCCTTATAAATCACTCGAAGTATTTATTTAAATATGTTGTGAGACTAAACCATGATATTACAATCTCCCCCACTTGGGAGTCTGACATTCTCATCAAAGACTAGTGTAACCTGAAATATCCCAGAATATTCTAGCATGGTATATTCTCATCAATGATGGTATATGCTCTTTAACCAAGTGCATATAGGTAGTCCCTTCCTACTCGAGTCCCTTTTCAAGACTCAATACTAGTTCGATTTTGATAACATTTTATCATGACTCTAATGGATATATGACCCGTTAAACTTTGTTGAATCCGATCCAAGATACTTAAGAAAATTATCGATAGTACATGCATCAAACTGAATCCAAATATTTTTTTATTTCCAACGTGGGACTAGACGGCTGTTACTAGTATAATCACACTGGTGGTGCTTCTTTTTTTATTTTTTTGCCCAAGCTCATTAATAGAACTTTCTGTTATAATGAAATCCTACTCATGACTTGTGCAACTGTTGTGGCCTACGAGCAAGGTGAAGCCTTTTTATCATGCATCTCGTGTATAGTTTGTCGAAGCAGTATGTGAATGAATATATATGCACAGGATAGTAATCAAGAAAAAATGAAAAATAAATATACATCAGAACCATAAATTCTGAAACAATTGCAAAGCTTAACATGTTAACAAAAATGAATATCACAAGTAAAAATTGAAAGAAATAAAGAACGATTCCATCATGACTAAAGCAACTAACTAAGAAGACCAACATATGGAGGCCAATTTTCTTCCTATTGCTAATACTGACAGTATCAAATACTACATGTCAATCTAAGAATCACATGAGCAAGATTGCATGCATTGTTTTCACTGGTCTACAACCAAAAGAATGTACCATGTTGGTACAGTCTTTGGTCTACTGGCATATTTTTTAGACACACTGGTATTGTTGGGCATGCCTACGCCATGCCTATAATACCACCCAATCTCAACTGCCACACATCACAAAACATTAGGCAAGGAGGTATGAGGTTTGGAGTTCCGGTTCAATCTAATAAACCAATTTGTAATGAAGCATCCAAATTTTGAATGGAAAAAAAATCCTAAAGCTATGTTTTCTTGTCCCAGAGATGGCTTTAGCTTAGTTGGCCTTATGTAGGGTTAAGCACAGTTCAAGTCCTACACGTATGTAGATCTCCTTTACTGCTGCATGGACAATCTGTAGATTAGCGGTGCTATTTATTAATCATGAAGATGAGTTCTTAAAACTAACTTTTATTAATGACCATGCACATCCTCCTTTTATAGTTGGGTGCTATCATGTATTATTAGTGCATTTGTGAACCGAGGATTAACAATGAAGAAGATGCTAGTCCCAATCCCACAGAAATAACAATGAAGAACTAATCTAGGAAGCAGCATCCTGTTGGAGAAGTTGACAAAAAAAGATGAAGATTAAACTGAAGATAAGCTGCAGAACAACAAATGTTGTCATAAGACTTATAAAGCTTAAGAATTTTTTAGGAGTACACATCAGCACACTCACAGGTAAGTTCTTCTCAAGAATCCATACACCTTCCTCCTCATTGAACTTCAGAGGAATTCTCTGAAAATTATGAAAACTTGATTAACTCACTCATCAGAGCAATTATATCATGAAGCTCACTGAAAAAAAATCATTACAAAGCATTTACTTTTCAAGATAAACATGAAATATGTGAAAAGATCATAATCACAAAACCAATGAACAAACAACACTTTGTTCACATAATGACAAGTTAATAAAAAAGCATCCCACGCTAACCATGTCAGGAAGCTTAGAAGGCCCAGGATGTAACAGTAGCAGCTAAATTACGAGAATTAACCAAAATCTGAACCTCCTAACTATGGACTATGGTAAGATTTCAGATTAGTGGAAAATACTTACATGTATGACATGGATGAGATATAAGACATCTAAAACATAAGAGAACCATGCGAGATCAGATGCACAAAATACAACACACACTCAAAGTAGAAGATTTACTTATAAATAGTTAAAATTACTTGCATGTCCACATCCTTTTAAGCAAGAATAGGAAGATTTCAAGAGTAGGGATCAATAATAATGCTTTTGATGCCATTCTCACTTGCAGTCCTTGATTCAACAAACCTATGAGCAGCATTCCAGCTTACAAATGCTTCCACTGACACAAAGCTTCTGTTACATCTGTTCTATGCTCCAATTATAATTAATAAAATTTTCAAGAATACAATTAGTGAGCTATACATATCGTTGCTCATGCCGATTCGTAGGTCATGAAGCAACATCTTTCATACCATGAAGAAAATAAAAAATATCAATGCTGAATATATTTACCTGTCATATGACTTACCATATTGATAGGGCACAATTTGGTAGCACGCCGCCAGGTAGCCGACCGCAGCCACATCAATGCCAATGGAAAGTTTCGAAGTCGATGTGGCAGACCACATCAATACAACGCCGTCCCGCGAAGAATGGAACGGCGCCGCTCGGGTATGATGGTGGCACCGCTTGGGTACGACGTCGCCCCGCAAAAGTTGGGACAGCGCCACTCGGGTACGGCGCCGTCCCACGAAGAGTGGAATGACGCCGCTCGGGTGTGATGGCAGCATCGCTCGGGTACGATGCCGCCCTGCAAAGGTTGGGACGACGTCGCTCGGGTACGACGCCGTCCCGCAAAGAGTGGAACGACGCCGCTCGAGTGTGACGGTGGCACCGCTCGGGTACGACGCCGTCCCCGCAAAGGATGGAACGGCGCCGCTCGAGTATATGCCTCCGCCCCGCAAAGGTAGGGACAGCTCCGCTCGGGTGCGACGCCGCGCACGACAACTGGTGTCAGCATAAAAGGTATGGGTTCGCCGCTTAAGAGGGCGGCGACCATTAAGAGGCAGGGATAGCCAACCCCCGTGGGCAGGCATAAAAGCCCATTGCCTGGCCAACACAAAGGGGGAGGTCCACTCAAGCATCCTACTCTCACTCATTCAACGGAAAGCTAACCTAAACATCGGAGGGATCGAGTCGGGAAATCCCCCTCCCAATCTCGACCTGTGTGCAGGAGCCCAGCGGTAGAGAAGCAAGCCACTCGCCAAGAAAGGAGGTCGCACTCGGGGGATGAAGCTTTAGCCCGACTCGACGCTCGAGCGACTACGCGAGAGACCCTACGCATCGAGGACTCTGAGACAAAGGGCTGCACCGGACACGGGATGGCCGACGCCAGCTTCTGAGACTCGAGCGCTAGACCAGGCAACCTTGCGCATCTAGAATCGACCCTAGCTGTGCTAACTCCCCGGCCACGGCGTAAAGAGACATGAACACATATGAATATGCTGCCAGTATTAATATGATATTATTTAAACAACCTCTATGTTGACTTATTATGGCATAATGTATCAAGATTCAAGATTATAAATGCAAATTTTCTTTATAAACAAAAAAAAGAGAAAAAAATGTTAGAAGAGCATACCTGTCCCCATCCAATATCAAGTCCAGACACTTCCACTGAGGAACACTCATTACCTTTCCACATCAGAGTGACATGGTTCTTGGATAGGCCTATAAGCTACAAAGGGAACATAGTTCAATGAATATTATGATTAAAAAAGGTAAGAAAGCCTAGAGCTTTAGTGGGACATCAAATTAATCAAGAACATCAAGTGCAAACAAAATGTAAAGGTGACATGTGGTATCACAGCAAATTAATTTTTGACATGACAACAATTATTGTGACTAATAAGATTTGAAACCATGATTTTCCTCAAGTACTGGTA